AGTAAAATAAACATGCAGTAGACCATCATGCATTTCAGCTCATTCAATGGATTGGACCATTGTTTGCTGTGAGCACCCCTGTGCGCAATCGTAACAATATCCATATAACGTAGTTTCCTCGACCTGTTTAGGACAGAAAACGGGCTATGACAGACCACGTGTTGCTGTTGAGTACAAATGCCGCACTTGTGAACAATCATTCAATGTGATTGGCCAGTATTATCAAGATATTGTTGTATTCTGAGTTTCATACGCAAACTGTTATCGATTCCATTGAAATAAAGCATCCAATCGATGAGTAAAATTATAATCAGCACACAAAATGTTAGCACTCTCCATCAAGCATACTGTCATGGTGTTAGTAAGGGAAGGATATGGAGATAATGAACAGTATTCAATATCAAAGTCCATAAAACAAAACAAAACAGGAGCAGAGAAAACACGGACCTGCGAAACATCAGAGGTGGGATCAGGTGCCATGGAGGAGTGAGCATCCCCTGCCGACCGGTCACACCAGCTGTGTGCTCATTGTCATGATCGTGAAATAACGGAAAAATCTGTCGTCAATTCAGTGTTTAAAAAAAGAAGTAACGATTGGTATGAAAAATTTCAATCATCATTTGACTCAATAATAAATTGAATTTGCTGAAAAAGTCACTGTTTCTACCATAGAGCTTACAAAATGATGCCTTTAAACGAGTCTGCTGATATTCTTGCTTCAAATTATTTATTGGACGTTGAGATTGAATACTGTTTGTTATCTCCATATCCCTCTTCATCAACGTGCTTGTCAATAATTTACCTCGTTTTAGAAATTGTTCGTACTTATAACATGGTAGAGCATGCTCTTGCGTATCGAATCAACTGAGATACAGTGGCTGCACCGTAAATGTTGACAAACCAATCGTGTAGAATCGTTCGTGTATCGTGCCTTATCGTTCATGTAATGTTCGAGATCGTGCGTGTATCAGATTCAATCGATTGCGGTTTTAATCGTGCGCGATCGTGCGATTAGAAACGTGTTAATTTCGTTTTGTAAGTTTTTTATCGGAATGTTTTTAATACAACAAGCATTTCCCTTTTTGTGGTCAATGGTCAAAATATTTTAAAAATCAATACATCAAAAATAGATATTTTTACTAATAAATAAAGATTACTTAATGTGAACATAAATGTTTATTCGACGAATTTACATGCACACGACATGATTTTCGGGGTTTTGTTTATCTGTGTTTATCTCTGGAGCTTAAATTTAATTAATTGTTTAATTTCTGCAAATAGAAACAGTTTAATATTTGGCAAATTCATTTTTAAAGATTCACGAACATTGAATCAATGGAAACATACGGATATAATTGTAATTCAAGTCATTCCATGCTGTCATATTTTTCGATCGCATCCCCCTTTCTGCTAGCTGCAGATCTGTAGCGTTATGGTTTTATATATGTGACTTTGACCATAACGCTACAGATCCGGTAGTGCAAAAAAAGTGCAATTTACGGCACAATATTTTTTGCGCTCTTTTGGGGAGAATTTCTCCACTTTCCAGCATTGGTCAATTAACTACCTTTCAACTCCTAATTCTAGACACATTATTTAACTAATCTATGTATTTTATCGATCTCCCAACCCTTTATAGTCTTCTCTTCAAGTGATAAACTCGCTTGATTAAAATAATTTGTTAGATAACTGAAAATTCACTTCAAGCGAGTTTATTGCCTGTAGAGAACACTATAAATGGTTGGGAGGTGGATAAACTATATATATTGTCTACAAAATATGTCTAGAATTAGGAGTTAAAGGGTAGTTGATAGACCAATGCTGAAAAGTGGATAAATTCTCCCCAAAAGAGCGCAAAAAATATTGCGCCGTAAATTGCACTTTTTTGCACTATCGGATCTGTAGCGTTATGGTCAAAGACAAATATATAAAACCATAACGCTACAGATCTGCAGCTACCTTTCTGCAAATCAAAAAATCCAATTCAATCAAATTTTACGGGCCACATATCTTCCTGTACATCTTCTGATAAAAAAGTCCGTTTTGTTTGGTCAGAGAATTACCTAAATAATTATTTATAATCTAAAATATAAAGTCTTACATGTATTAATTACAGAAATATCCATTTCCTTTTTTCAAAGTCTATTGAATAAATATTGATAATTCTTTGAAATCTTAAATTAGTATCAAGCCGTATTTCGTTTTGAAAATAGGGAGTCCTAAATATTTTGAACTATTTTAAGTGAAGTATCTTGCATTTGCGTTAACAATCATGTAAGATCGTGTAACGTGTAGAATCGTGTGCGTAAGGGATCGTTCGTGTAATATGTATAATCTTGCGTTAATCGTGCGGAATCGTTCGTGTGACGTGATCGTTCGTGTAAGTTGTCGTCAATAACGTTGCAGCCACTGTATGAACAATTTCTAAAACGAGGTAAATTATTGACAAGCAAATGGAGGAAACAAGAATATCAGCAGACTTGTTTAAAGTCATCATTTCGTAAGTTCTATGGTCGATACAATGACCTTGTCAGCAAATACGAGGGCTGTCCAAAAAGTTCGTGGACAATGACGTTTTTGTTAAAATAAATGGTCCTATATGAATCTTTTGTATATCAAAAAAATTTTATGTGGCACAAATAAAGAGGTTATAATCATTTTATGATATCTTAAGAATTGCCTACTATATAAACAGTACAAATACTAAACAAAAACCCTAACAAATATATGTCAAAACTCGACAAAAAAGCGACGTCGGCCGTACGCACGGGTCAGTGTCCGATCAAAAAATAAGTTTTTATACGGTTGAAACTACTTAGAGACAAAACATTTGTTAAAACAATTCACAATTATTGATATATATTTAGTGTATCAATTTTAGATTGCTATATATGATCTTTTCAACTATGTGTACAAATCCGAAGACACTACAAGAATTTTTTTAAAAATTCTATTTACTGAAAATGAAGATTTCTATTCATGACGTTGTTATAAATCTAGAGCAGCGACGGACTGTGATGTGCAGTTTGTGTATACAAACTGTATATTTAGACGACTCTCGTAAATTTTTTTAGCATTGTTTTGAATTAAATAAAATATAATCTATGCTTGAAGATTATTGCTAGCATTAGGAAGTGCGTTGCGCTATAAAAAAAAAGAAATGAAGTGTGTGTCCATGAACATATGTTAAGTCAAAATCCAAATGTTTGACGTTACAATGAAATTAGCTTAACGTCAGACTGGTCCTTGCACACTATCCACGACCTTTAAAAACCCCGATTTTTTAAAAAAAATATTACTAATATCTAAAAGAAAGTAAATCATTTGTTTTAACATTAACGCCATTGTCCACGAACATTTTGGACAGCCCTCGTACAATTTATCATTGAGTCAAATGGTGACTGACGTTTCTCATACCAATTGTTAGTCCATTATTTATACACTGCATTGATGACCGATTTTTTCCGTTATTTCTGATCATAAAAAGAGGCACACGGCGGATGTGATCGGTCGGCAGGGGACGCTCACTCCTCCATGGCACCTGATCCTACCTCTGATGTTTCGGGGGTCCGTGTTTGCTCTGCTCTTATTTTGCATTATTTTATGGACTTTGAGATTAAATACTGTTCGTTATCTCCATATCCTTCTTACAGAAAAAAGATAGCCGGACTTGTGAATGAACAATGTATCCAAAATTTAGCACATGAATCCCTACAGGAAGATTTTAAACATTTTGATTTTTTATGTTAAACCATTGTAAATAGTTACATAGTATATGAAGCATTCTTTGATTAGGCTTCGATCAGTGATTATATAACATCACATGGAAACTTGCATTACTTGTATTACATATAGTCTTACCTGGAGTCTGCCTGTAATATCATATTTAACCTATTTATAGTCCAGTACTTTTATGAGAGTGAAGTTATCCGATCATTATTTCCACTACTTACTTGGTTTTCTGTAAGGTTTGTTGTCGATGATGTAAATGTCCCAGTGTGGATGGAGACCTATACAGGATCTCACGATGTCAGGTCTCGCGTGTGTCTCGTATCTCCAGGGCCACATCACGTGATCTACATTCTCTGGTGTTCTTCCACTGTAATTCACAGCCTCTCCTGTTTGTTTCAATTCTTCTAAATACGTCTTCCTTTCATTTTCATTCCCTTGTACAATCTCTTTTGGGACCCCCACTTATGTAATGGAATAAAAGTTATAAACTCATACATTGTTTTTACAGATATATGATATGTATATATTAACTTTCCAGCTGTCAATAAGTCTGGGTTGAAAAGATAACGAAAAAAATCCCAAAGGATAAAATGTACTTATTGGGACTATACGTATTTTAAAACTTTCGTTTATTATAGTAAAAAGCCAGTAGTTTTTTTCCAAGAAAAATGAACAGAAGATTTTCTGAATACGTAATGAAAAGGATTTCACGGTATTGCTATCAAATATATGATGCATCAATATTACAAGGACCAAGAATAAAAAAGACTAATGACTCATATTTTTAAATTATGCGTTTATTATATGTCAATTCTCGCACCTGTAAATGAATTGAGGCAGTAAAAGAAATCGATAATATTCCTAATGGTAAAATATACATGTACTTATTTATATCATATATGCATTCGAAAAAAATCTTAATAATATAAAAATCATCCAGTTTTTTTTCTCAAAGTACAACAGATTTTCTGAATAAGTAACTAATCATACCGATAAACATGTTCGCATGAAACTGATATGACAAAATTGTTCTCAGATAAAAGATATATCAAATTTGAAAATGTATATATTCTTTGGTTGCATGGAATATTACTCGATCTGTGCACAGTTTTATTCGGTAAACAAAATTGACTCACGTCAATCTAATTAATTAATTATAAATGTTTCATATAGAATCGATTATTTATATGTTAAAAGCAAATGGAAATTAAAAAAAAACAAATTAAGGAAAATATACCAACTATATCGATAAAATAAATTGATATCATTCATGTTTTATACTCACAGGTCTGAGACACTTCATCACAGATCCTTCTGTCCTCCAAGGTGACATGAGTGAGGATGTTCATCTGTAGACGGAGTATCAGTAAGTCATCACAATTACGACTAAGGACACACTTCTCTCCAGGCTTTCTGTTGTATCCCTCTGATCTCAGATACACACTGGCTGTGTTATAACTACTGTAATAGAATGGTAAAGCACGGTCTTTTGATGCTATCCTATACATTGTTTCATCCTTTGTGTCCTCCGTTATCTTGTCCTGATCTTCCCAAAAATAATCACGTGACTTCAGTCTGTCCAGAGTCTGCTGTGCTTCCTGGCGTGTTACAGGATTCTCTCCACGGTACATTCTCAGTCGTATCCCTTTAAGCAAGTCCAGACACTCTGTGTCAGTGAAGTCAGGAGGCCCGGAGTCAGAACACAGAAAACAGAATAACACGGACACCTCGTCATCAGTCAGTGTGGAGAACTTATCTAGAAAATAGATTATTCAAATTTGATTACGTGTAACAATATAAATATACAATTTATATCCGCGTAAATGGTGCGTAAATTAAAGTCAGGTAAAATTTAGATGTCATCTCTCATATATCTTGTGTTTTTATCATTCTGTGTTAAATATTACAAAAAATTCAATGTACCTCGAGACAATTGACAAAATTGTTTACTTCCCTGGTCATTTGTCATTTGAATTTTTTTTGTTAAAACACATTCTGATTGCACACAGAAGTACTCTGAAGTCATCAAAGAGATGCTTGATATCTGATTGACAATATCTATTTGGTTTTTGGAGTCCAGGTATTCCAACAATCTATTGGAATTTCCATGGGTACCAATTGCGCTCCTTTATTGGCGGACCTGTTTTGTAGTCATATGAAGCAGAATAAGTGCAAAATCCCATGCATGAGAAGAAGAAAACACTTGCTGTATGTGGCCTTCAAATCGACATTTAGATACTGTATACAAAAAAAATTTCGCCCCCAATTAATTTTAATCCCTTTCGCCCAAGTCTGTCGTGGCCAAATTTAAAACGGGGCGAATTCAAAGTAAATTGTAAAATATCTTAAACAAAAATCTTTTTGGGCGAATTTAAAACGGGGCAAACTTGTTTTCAGATGTGAAAGGGCGAAAATAACACGGGGCGAAAAAAAAAACCCTGTATACAGTATATCGACGACGTATTGTCATTTAACAATGGTCATTTCCATTCCTACGTCGATACGAGATATCCTTGTGAGCTTGAGATAAAAGATACCACAGAGTCTGACAAATCTGTTTCCAAATTTGATATTTTACTTGAAAAAAAACGTTAATGGTAATCTTACAACCATGCTATATGATAAACGTGATGACTTCAACTTTTCTTTCGTCAAATTCCCTTGCTTATGCATCAATATAGCTTCATCACCTGCATAAGGAGTGTATATATCTCAGTTGATTCGATACGCAAGAGCATGCTCTACGTATGAACAATTTCTAAAACGAGGTAAATTTTTAACAAGCAAGTTGATGAAACAAGAATATCAGCAGTCTCAATTAAAGTCATCATTTCGTAAGTTCTACGGTCGATACAATGACCTTGTCAGCAAATACAATTTATCATTGAGTCGAATGCTTACGGACGTCTTTCTTACTAATTGTTAGTCCATTATTTATACACTGAATTAACAACGGATTTTTTCGTTATTTTCTAATCATGACAAGGGGCACACAGTGGGTGTGACCGGTCAGCAGGGGATGATCACTCCTCCATAGCACCTGATCCCACCTCGGATGTTTCGGAGGTCTGTGTTTGCTTTGATATTAAATACTGCTTTTTATCACCATATCCTTCTTCTAAAACATTAAAGATAACATTGACCTTGGGAATGTGCAATGATATATGATTCTAATACGTTCCAGAATTCGCAGTTTTTAAACTTTCCAGATAAAAGAATTTCATATTTAAACGTGTTTATGATATTTTGGAGCGAAATGCTAAAGCAAAATATTAATCATTTTGTATTATTGATTATTTAAAAAATATTTACGTGTCCATCCCCCATTAAATAGTCATTCCTTTACAGAAAAAGAAAATGCCAGCAGTTTCTTACCAGAAATGGGTGTTTTCCACACAAAATAATCCTCAACAGTATGACCTACAAAAAATTGAAATAATATTGAGAAAGCAAAAAATGCATTTATGAATTCTGTGTTTGAATTTCCACTCTGTTTTTGTTTTGTGTGTGTGTTATTTGTGGAAGGGGGGTCAAATTTGTGTTAGATACCGATTTTTGTAAAACGTTTTAAATTATTTGTCTGTGACATATTTTTTTCGTAACCATATGTGATCAGAAATTTAGAAAATGGCTGATTCTTCTTATTTCAAAATTTGAAAATTGATTCAGTAACATAATATTTTTACATAATTAATTAAATTAATGGTCAGAAAAATATTTATAAATTTATTCTCAGGCTAAAAGTTTTGAATTATGAATAAATGTATAATGAAATCTTGAAAACAGTATTACTTTTTGTGGTCAAGGTAGGAGGGGGTATCTTTTAAAATGTTTAAGTATAAACATGGATCATTGAATTATCAAAAAAGATTCTGATATCAAAAATTGAAAGTAGATCCTCCAGATATTGACGACATACTATTTATCAATGGAACTTCTTGGTATCTTCCTCTTCTTGTTCTCATTCTTCTCCAAAACATAAAGGCAAACAATAGGGACAGTAAAAGTAGTAGACCGAGGATGATTCCAATGATAACAGCTACAACGCTTGGCTCTTGATCTGCAACACTGAAATATTACAATACTGCAATACTGGTCCCTGTTGTTAACCTCTTACGTGGCTTTTTATAAAAGCTTTTACAAGGGGTGATAAAAAAGTTCGCGAACTATCTCTATATCTACAAAACCACAATTCAGATTAGAATAGAATTTTTTACACATTTAACCATACACAAGTTCTATAAATAGCATATGCTGAATAATGTTTTGCTCCTTGTTTGTGACGTCACAATGTGAAAATGACGTCACCATGTAGGTCACGTGTGACGAAAAATGGTTTTTTAGTCGTACTCGTTCAATAAATGACTATACAATTTATTTTATATCTTAGAATTCCCTTTAAGACGGCATATAATAATTTGTACACAGTTAATAACTACAAAAGACTTCCTTTAGATTTAATCAATGATTGGATCGATCGTTTTCGTGAAGGTAGGCAGATGGTTATTATAAATGCTTGTAATGTTGCCAAGTTAAAGCACGTTTGAGAAGATATGTTTTAAATCAAGCAATTTGCCATCAAAGACATCCAATTTACACTTTGAAAATAACTTGAATCTTTGAACAATAATAATTATTCTTAAATACCTAAGATATCATTTATTTTAGATTTTAAACAATTAAATATGACGAAAAGGAGACACCCGTTCTCTTTCCACATTGAATAACCGTCTCTCCCGAGACAGAAGATTTGTGTTTTAATGTTCGCCATGCTAATTTTTGGAAAGAATATTCATATTCATCCATTCTGTTGCCGAGATTTGACAATTACTAACAAATGAACTGTTCTTGCTATAGAAATTAACTTACATGGAAAGAAATATAAAACTCATAAAAATGTTTCAGCTTTTGTGACAGAACGCTACAGAGAGGGTTTCGTACCGCCAATATCACGTGATTCGTGCATGCACAGAAAGGTGGCTGGTGTGCATTAAAATTGAAAAGGACTAATTTAAATTATTATCAACAGTGAAACCAAATATTGTTTCTTTTATGGAAGTTATTCAATTAGTTTGATAACTTTTTGATCAACCCTTGTATAGGTATCACTAAATATATTTTATCGTAAAGGTAAAATCAATGACCACTCCATCATCGCTTGATTTTTGACTATAATTGCATTTATATTGGATTTCAAACCTTTATTCATAAAAATCCTTATATAAACAGATATACATAGCGGGTTCCATTAATCGTTCTTCCAAGCCTATTTTTTTCTCCTCACTTAAGCAGTAGTGCTAGGAGAACTTTCGGAGTACTGTACAACATTACATTTAAAAAGTGGTGTAAATCAGGCACCAAAACCATATTCTGAGAATAGTCTTTTAAAAAGGACGTTTGATCCTGAGCTTTTGAACGGATTTTGGCCCTGTTCTTTAAATATAAAGTTCTGCATCATTGTTAAGTTTTACAATGAAAATTAAAATTTATTAAATGAAAAAAAAAATTAAATTCCACTCTAGTAGAATTAACTAGGAACTACATTTTATGGCGGAATGTTTTTTAAAAGAGAATGATATATTTTTTCCCTTTTTGAATTATAACAGTTCTGTTAATTTTAGATTTTTTTTATGCTGGTTGCACACAAAGCTGTTTTTGCAGTGAAATGTGTTATGTGGGTTCTGAAATATCAATTTATTTCTTATGAATTTTTTCTACAAATTGGGACAAATCTAGTAAAAATATTCTGAAAATCCGAGAAAAAAATTGAGCCAATTTTTACGTAAATTTTTTTTAAAGAAGTTTCTGAAAATTTACACCATATATCCCCAACTTCGATGTTATTTTCTAAATATTAAAGATGACTTTGACCTAATCGCTTAAAGTTAGAAAAAGTTTAAGACTTAAAATCATTTTCTTGCTAATTAAATTTTCAATGCCAGAAAAATTACATTTAATAAGTGCAGAAAGGTCAAACTGAAAACTTATTTAGTCCTAATTTTAAAATGTATTTTTTTAAATAGACTTAAAGCTCATATTGTGTCATGCTTTCATTGTATAAAAATTTTGGACGAAGATGTAATTTTAATTAAGACACAAATTGCAATGCAAACAGGCCATATTAAAGGTACTTGGACACAGATTTGAAGTTATTTTTTTTCTCTATAATATTACGACTTATATATTTAATGGCATTTCACACAAAAACTAATCAAAAATCTTATTGCAGATAAAAGATCTAAAAACTTCAAATTTTTGGCGGTTTTGATTGACACATTATTGCACTTTCACATATTAATTTTATTCTTAATCCTTAGGGAAAGTGGCAATCTCTTTGTGTATAAATAAAAAATAGTAATACTATAATCCAGAAAATTCAGAGTAGACATGTTCGAAACACGCAATGCATTGTCCGTGCAGTTGTAGTAAGCAGACTGTGACGATTGAACGCGCCCGGTGAATTATAAACATCGACAATAACAATAACAGAACTCGTGCCTTGTTAACAAAAACTGTGTACATAACACGAGTGTGATCGATTTGCTAAACTCTGTACGCAACTCTTAGTTCGAAATGACGATACTTGTGAAGGAGTTTTGCTTTCTAACATTTCTACTCTGAATAAATTATTTTGCTGGATAAAAGTTTTAAAATTTTTCATTAATACACAACAAGATTGCCACTTTTCCTAAGGATTAAGAATAAGGTTAAAATTTGTGAAAGTGCAAGGATGATTCATTCAAACATGCTAAATAATTGAAGTTTTAATAAAGTTTAAATGAAATAAGATTTTTTGTTTCTTTTTAAGTGAAATGCTATTAAAAAAAATTAATCGTAATTTTTCAAAGCATTGTTAGGGCTGATATAAGGAGGCAGGGCCTAAATTATACGGGAAAAGTCTACTGTGACGTCACACTAAATATGACTTTTATGTATTCCTCATAATACCAGAAAATGAAATAATTTGCAACTCTAAACTGCATTAGCATAATAAACAACAATAAAACTTATCAATGCATTTAAAAAAGTTGCTAGTTAAATCCCATACAGCTGGTTATAAAAAGATCACTGATCTCGATGAACTTGTCAATCATGACGTCAATTTGGTAAAAATAACGTATTTCATGTGCTGTGAGAGGCAGATTGAGGAATTTTTTTTAAAAATGAGGACTGCCTTTTATTATAAAATAGAATGTTATTTACAGGTGTTAAATAGGCTATTAATACCAATGTATATCCTTTGTTCAGTGAGATTATTCATTAACTATCGAGAGAATGTATTTACATAGTTTTGCCGTGTTTTTATGTTCAGGTTAGGTATATTTTTCATCGAGGTGCCTCATTAAATCGTTCTTTCGCAAGGGTATACACTTAATAAATCTTTACCATGTTAAGCTTCTGCTTTCTTTAAATCGAGAGGGTGCCTATATAAGTACACAAAATAATTGATAAAAGTCAAAGATATTTCGATATGGGCATATTTACTTGAAATTTTAACTATTCAAACGCGAATTCTATTGAAAGCAGCAGCACTTTCCAGGAAGTACAAAGTATACAGAAACAATTAATAGCTTGAATTTTTAATTTCAAATAGGATACCTTAAATCTGGACATTTTTACGTTGATTTTATTTTGCGAATTTGGGTCAAAATGCATTTGATTAATTGTTACGTTTCAAAATTTTGCGAATGACCATTATTTTGTTTACGTTTTCTTACTGTTGAATTATTTTTATGATAAATATTTTTGCGAATGCAATGAACTCGCAAATTTGCTAAAAATTTATCTAAAGCAAAAATTTCCAGATTTATGGTATGCCCTTGCGCTGTAGAAATTTGTTAATGACCTTCATTCAGTACACGTACTATGCACTCATCACGTGACTGTCCATCGATGGGACCAAACTTAAAACAGTACAGAGTAGGTTATACTATGCTATTTCCATAAGTATTTAAGTTCTGTGATAATAAAACAGCTGAATAAAAATAAATTGTTTTAAAAAATAAACCCGTTTTTGCATTTCTATTTTCCGTTGATTTCTCATAGTAAGCCTTAACAGTGCTGCATATAGAGAAAAAATTGACTTCAAGTACTTTTAAATGTACCAAAAGAAGCATATTGACCCCCCCCCCCCCCCCCCCCATTTTTTATTTGAATTTGAATTAAGCTCCGTATGTAGAAACTAAAAATATACTCGGTAAAAAGGGTTTAAGACTTAAAATATCAGGATGGATATGGAGATAACGAAAAGTATTCAATCTCAAAGTCCATTAAACAATATACAAAATCAGAGCAGAGCAAACACGGACCTCCGAAACATAAGAGGTGGGATCAGGTGCCATGGAGGAGTGAGCATCACCTGCAAACCGGTCACACCGGCCGTGTGCTCGTTGTCATGATCAGGAAATAACGAAAAAAAATCCGTCGTCAATTCAGTGTATAAATAATGGACTAACAATTGGTATGAAAAACGTCAGTCAGCATTTGACTCAATGATAAATTGTATTTGCTGACAAGGTCATTGTATCGACCATAGAACTTACGAAATGATGGCTTTAAACGAGACTGTTGATATTCTTGTTTCATTAACTTGCTTGTCAATAATTTACCTCGTTTAAGAAATTGTTCATACGTAGAGCACGCTCTTGCGTATCGAATCAACTGAGATATATATACTCCGTATGCTGGTGGGGAAGGTATATTGCTGCAGAAGTAAGGGAAGTTGACGATAGAAAAAGTTAAGGTCATCATGTTTATCATATAGCTTGGTTCTTAGAGTACCATTAGTGTCTTTCTTAAGTAAAATATCCAAATATGAAGCAGAAGTGTCGGAGTCTGTGGTATCTTTTATCTCAAGCTCACCGGGATATATCATATCGACGTAGGAATGGAAATTATCATTATTAAGGACGTTCGATCCTGATATTTTGAGCGTATTTCGCGCAGGTCCTTTATTCATTAAATT